GCAGCAGCAGCAGCAGCAGCAGCAGCAGCAGCAGCAGCAGCAGCCCCGTCCTGCCAGAAGGAAGCTGAGAGAGGAAAGGCGCAGAGAGGAGGGAGCTTGCCAGCTCTCTGCTCATTAGGGCACAAAGCAATCCTTGTTCTTGCTCGCGATTTTGCCAGGCAGCAAGGAGGAAGGCGATCGCTGTGACCATGGCCTTGGCACCCTGGCCGGACACCTCCATCCTCAGAGGAGCTCCCTTGCACCTTGAAGGAGCGCGCCTTGGCTCACCCAAAGGCTCCCCAGACAGCTCAGCCCTGCGGGGCTGGGCACCTTGGGAAGTCTTTGGACCTGGCCTCTCGACTAGAGGACGCACGCCCAGCTCAGGGAAAGCTCCCTGCGCCTGGGCCCCTAGCAGTGGAAGAGGGCTGCTTGGCCCAACTGCAGCAAGTGGCCCTCAGCAGTCCTGGCCGTCCTGCAGCTGCTTCCTCTGCATTCCTCCTTTCAGGGTCCTTGTGCCCAGCAAGGACGCAAACCACCGGGGGAGATATGATCGCTGTACTGGGGCGCAGCCATTTCAAGGGAACAAATGAAAACGTGCCAACGCACGGCGCAGGCGCTGGTGGATGCAACCAACTCTGCACAGAACCACCCCGGTAGGGGCACGCATCTGGGGAGGGAGAGCGAGTGTGTGAGCAAGCAGGCCTCATGGGGTCCCAGGGGTGCTCCCCCCAGGTCTGCCCCTCCCTCTCCCCCCCATGCTGAGGGCCTGCTGGAGAGGCTTCCTGGGGGGGCTCAGGAAAGGTGCCGGACAGACAAGGCTTTTGTGCTGTGGGGAAAGGGGCTCTGGCACAGGCCCCCTGCCCCTGACACGTGCACTCGGGCTCTTCTCTCCCAGAGCCTCCCAGCAAGGGGAGCGGCCCAGCCTTCCCACCAGGAACCCAGCTCCAGCCCTTGCTGCCTCTGCAGAAGGGCGGTTAATCATTCACTGCCTTGTGGCGGTTACTGCTCAGCACCCAGCCTTGGGGCACACACTCGGAGAAGCCTGGCATGCTGCTGGCAATGGGAACAGCTTAGTGCCCCTTCCTTGGGACACAAGTCAGCACCAAATGCCCGAGCCAAGGACCCCAGGAGGGACATCCAAGGCCATAGATGGGCTAGATATGTCTCCCAAGAGCAAGGGAGAGGCACCACTGCCCGCCCCCCCGTGGCCCTTCTGCTGCCCCCCAGGTGTCCCCAGTGGACATTTCACATTTAGCAGTCCAAGTGTAGAGGGGGGGAGAGCAGCCATGCCTTTAAGGAGGAGAACCAGAGCCAGTCTCCTTCCTCTTACTGCAGGCTGGTTGTCTCCCCCTCACAATCACCAAAGGCTTGTCCTGCACTTGGTCTCATGTTGACCTGAACATATGAAGCTGCTCCAGATGGAGCCCGAGGCCTTCTCTCCTCACCGGCTCTCCGGTCTGGACTTCTTGCAGCCACTCCAGAGCCTTTTCACCAGACAGAAGGGGCTGAGCATACAACTTCCTACCTGCAAAATATATGCTATGCAATGACTACACAACCCTACACCACACCGGGCCAGGCCTCATTTGAGGCAGGTCTTTCCACCAGCCCAAGATGCCAAGCACTGAACCAGGGGCTGCTGAATTCAAAGCATTTGCTCCACCACTCAGCTACACACCACACTTTGTATCTGCCACACACTCATCAGAACCACTCCAGAAACCTTTGACATCTCTGGAGAAAGTACCCCTTAACAGTAAAATGGGAGCTTTTACTTGCTTCCATCTGGAGTCAGCTGACAGGGAGCAATGTCCAGGGATCTACTCTGGCATCGGGCAAGGCCAAGTGGGTCACTCACTGGAGTCCCTTTAGCCTAATGTCAGGCAGGGTCCAGCCAGGGAAACCCGTGAGCCCGCAGCTGCCAGGGTCTGGCAGTTCAGCATAGCCCTGGCTGTCCGCAATGCTCTGTGAATGGTCACAGAATCCTAAAATGGAAAGTGCTCTGGAGACCACCCGACCTGACCCCTTGCTCAGTGCAAGAATCTACTACTACAGCATCCCCACCAGGGGACCACCAGCCTCTGGTTAGGCACCTCCAATGAAGGGGGGGTCACCTCCTGTTCCACTGTGGCAGCTCTTCCCATTAGGAATTCTTCTTGGAAGACAGCTAACCTGTCTGCCCCTACTCTGCCACATGCTTGCCCCCATTCCCCCTAAGTCTTTCCTTCCAGGCCTTTTACCACCTTTTATACGTTGATGCAGCTTAGGACAGTATTTACTCCTTTTTTGTGTAGTTTTGGCACTCATGTTCAGCTTTTGGTCCACCAAGACACCCAGATCCTCTATGTGTGCCCAGTGTGACCCCTTCCTCTCCGACATTCACATCTTTGATTTTTCCTATCTAAATGGTGACTTGGCATTTTTCCCTGTGGAAGTTCTTCCAGTGGACATTTTAACCATTTTTCTGGCTTCTCCTGAATTTCGATCCTGCCTTTTAAGGCTCTGGCTCTCCCTGCTTCTTTTGATCATCATATTCCCAACCACCTCGTCCAAGCCGGGTGTTGATCAGCACAGAGCCTGCGGGTCCTTCAGTGGTGGGAAGGCAGGATGAAGAGCCCCGTTCAGCTCGCCGCATCCCCTCCGCGCACCGCACCGACAGGGCCCTTTTCCTCGCGGCCACCTTTGCACGGCTGCAAGCCAAAGGCGTCTCGAAGGAACCCGAGCCCAGCCAGACCCGCAGGCTTGGGTTTCAAAGGCTCGGGAGGGCCCGCAAGATAGAAAGCCCCCTTCCTCGGGGTTCTGCGGGGAAGATTCGGGGAGAAGGTTCCCAAGTC